TCAGAGTGAATTTGTTATGGTGATACATCTCATTTATTTCTCCGCTGGAATCTGACTTGTCCTCTTCCACAGTAGGTTCTAGATGATAGAATTTGGCCAATGGAAAACTTGTATCTTCCGGATAATGGATTTCCAGGTTCTCCAAGTTTCCACCCCCCAATACAGTATAACTGTCTTGACATTTGCATTGAAAATTGTGACTTAAGTGTTGATTGATATTTGTTTCGAGTTCCAGATGTTTTTTAACTGTAGAAATGCAGTCTTTGCTTTGCAAATCCGCACATTCACATCTTCATCAGATTCACCTTGTTTATCAATAATGGTGCCTACATATGCAAAGGTTTGTACATCTTCGAAAACTTCACCATGAAGTGTGATTTGGTTGGTACATGTTGAGTCGTATCGGAGGAACTTGTTTTTCTATTTGTATATGTTGAGACCTGCTCCTGCTGAGTCTGTAGCTACACTGGTCATCTTCTCTTGCATTTATTGTTGAGTGTGAGATACAAGAGCTAGATCATTTGCCAAGTCTAGATCGTCCAGCTGTATTCAAGCTGTCCACTGAATCATGTTCTTCCCATCAGATGTTGATGTTCTCATAACACAGTTAAAAACCAAAGAAAGAGAAAGGGTGAGAGTAAGCAATCTTAACTGACACCGGTTTTCACTTGGAATGAGTCTATCAGCTGTCCTCCATGCATGATCTTGCAGTTTAATCCATCATAAGAATTTCGTATGATGTTGACTATCTTCTCAGGCACGCCTTAATCTCGAAGAAGCCTTCATAGTTTCATCCCGTCTATGTTATCAAATCCCTTTATAAACAAAGTAATTCTATAGATCTATTTATTCCTTCGTTGATACTACAGTCCACATCAACAAATGCAAGTAATTCACACAGATGACTTAAATCTTCACTGAATACTTTCACGTTAAGTTTCAGGCTATGTGGTCAAACGAACGAACATTTCAGGAGATGAAGATATCCTCTTTGAATCTTAAACAGAATCTTTAAAATTCAAATCAACAGTTACTGTGTATAGAAGTCACCAGTTCTGTTATCGATCAAACTTGTTAATCAAACTTACTGTTTCATATTTAGTAACGAATACCCATATATTTTGGTATATGGGTGTTAATAAGGATTACATTTCCTAAATTTCTAAATACATTAAATAAATTATACTACTCACAATTTTGTAAGTAGGTTTCATATGCATACAAAATAATGTTTTGACTAGTAACAGCCCATTTGCAAATAATCATGGTAAACAGTTTTATATGTATTCACTATGTACTTTTTCAATTCAAACTAATGTATTGAATACTGATTTAACGCAACTACTGCAAATTTCTAATACAATTCATGACACAATTTTTTTTGAATGCGTCAACAAATTGAGCAGCAATCACATGCTGAAATCAGCAGTTCAGTTCGTTGATGAGAAAGTCAATAGTTAACTGATAAGTAATTTAATCTAAGCTTGGGAACGATTCAACTAGATCCTCAAAAGTTCACTGTTTTGGAAGACAAAAAAATTGTGTTCAGGTTGCTTGTATTCCTTCCAAATGACCAGAAAAATGGGTTCAAATAAACCGTTTTTCCAACAAATAAAATTCCATGCGATTCTCGAAAGAAAAACTCATGCTTCACGAATGGGACTTATTATCCTTAGCTGATTTGCATTTCTAAAACTTTTACAGTATCTTTGAGCAACATAAGTGCCATTTTAGGTAAAAAGGAAGTGATTCTGAGCTTTAGATTCAACGGCTATTCGAACTCTTGAGTTTTATTCGTACGATTAGTGGGATTTTGTCTAACCTCAGCTAATCATTTTATTTTTACTGTTTTCACGTTAAAAGGCCAGTCATTGTATGTTGTAGATGGTTTAAAGATCCGTTTTTTTTTATCAGGTTTGCTTATTTTATCTTTCTGCCAATGTTGATAAACTATGATTTTAATTTAGTTGAAAGTTTATATTTTACTATAATTAAAGTTTTCTTCAGCACAAAACAGTGCACTGAGAAAAAGGTAGAGTATTCTCAACAAGATAAGATTTATTATCTTTCCTCGAGGATTCAAAAAAGATTTTTTCTAGCAGATAGTCAGCAATCATCAAAGGGACCATACTGTAACATTGTGTCCTCTCTCCTTTTGTAAGACTCATGGAACCTACGTTTGCAATGAACATTCTAACGCTTTTCATTGTACTTATAACGATTCCAAGGTACATGTGATTACAAGTCCTACCATGTTGGTTGAACCAACATGTAATCACTTTGATAAGACGGCTTTTCGATGTGAAAATAACGTTATCGAAAGTCCTCTGTTGTATGATTTTAATCACTTGATGATCAATAGTGAAATTATAGGCGTTTAATTTGAACCTCCATATCTGGACCATAACTCCGTCAGTAGAACCTTAGGGGCTACCGCCGGTCCAAAGCCCGGATAAAGGAGGAGGGTTCGACATGGTGTTGGCGACCTCATTCCGTCGAAATCTCACTTGCCAAAAAAACGCTAACCAGAAAAAATAATCCAAACGATTTTAACTCTGCCCTGCGAGTTGGAAGAAGAATTATGACGTCGCGTGATGAAAGCCGAGTTCCTTCGGAAGTCACAGGGCTGATGCCTCTTCTGACAACCAGAGCAACCATTCTTTTAGGTACATTGAACGTTCGTACATTGTGGGATACTGGAAGACTATTTCAAGTTGCGGCAGAAATGAAAAGATACAACCTCGAGGTGCTCGGCATCAGTGAAACGCATTGGACACAAGTAGGACAACTGAGACTAGCTTCAGGGGAACTGCTGTTATACTCTGGTCATGAAGAGGAAAATGCTTCACATACACAAGGAGTTGCACTGATGCTGTCGAAACATGCAAAAAAGGCACTGATAGGATGGGAATCTCATGGGCCGAGGATCATTAAAGCATCCTTCAAAACAAAGAAAGAGGACAATACAATGAACGTCATTCAATGTTATGCACCTACCAACGACTACAATGATGACGTTAAAGATCAATTCTACGAAAGGCTGCAGTCAATCGTCGATAAATGTTCACCAAAGGATTTGACGATTCTGATGGGAGACCTGAATGCCAAGGTTGGAATGGACAACACTGGATATGAAGACATCATGGGACGACATGGACTGAGAGAAGGAAACGAAAACGGTGAGAGATTTGCAAACCTATGTGCCTTCAACAAACTGGTCATCGGTGGCACAATATTCCCGCACAAACGCATTCACAAAGTCACATGGATTTCACCGGACCACACTACTCAAAACCAAATTGACCATATCTGTAATAACAAAACGTTCAGAAGGACTATGGAGGATGTGAGAACCAGGAGAGGTGCTGAGAAGGCTGTTGAGCCAACTCCTTGGATTACAATGCGAACGAATGGGTGGAGGAAGCGACTGGACCGGTGAAGCGCGTTGGAGAAGGCTAATGAGCCAACTCCAAGAGATAGAGCATGACTAAGAATATATATTCAGACAAAAATAAGACGGACATGAGACAAGCGAAATGGGCATGCGCACATGAATAAAAGCGACGAATGATTGACAGGGTCAAAAGCAAGCGAGATAAGTCATGTGATCTTATGCAAACCTGACAGTAGTAAGAGCGAAAGGTACATATAAGTTGTTGCTACGCGAATGGTTTGGTTAAATAAATTAATCCAAAGGGCTTAACCAAATTAGATGTAAGCGAACAGGAATGTATGTGGAGGCATTACAATGTAAATCAATATTTTCGGCATGAACTGCAATATCAACATGATCCGATCCAACAGTATGAAGACCAGTAATACTCTAGTTTGAAATCTTCTGGCATATCGCAGGTGAAAGACTTAATCCAAATGTTTGGAATTCGCATCTAACTAGCCAAAATAGTGTATTAATAGCACTTAGTTGACTAGAGATTTCATCAAGTGGCACTCGTAAATATGCATCTTTTAGGTCTATTTTAGAAAATAATTTTTGTAGTATATCTTCATGTTCTTCAATAGTACAACTAAGTTGTAATAGCCGAGTATTTATCGTCTTGCGCTGGTCATCACAAATTTCAGGTGTTTTTCCGTCTGCTTAAAATGGTGTCAAAATGGGATCAGCTCAGCTAGACGAATTACCAGGGAATACCTTTCTTTTCGCGATCAGTTTATCTAATTGATTCCTAAAACCTCTCTTAAACCATACTAAATCAGTCTAAACTTTAGGAAAACTGGCTCCCTCACCACTTTCAGATGTACTGTCATTGTTTCCATACTTCCCATAGCCCTCAAATACTGTAAGACCAGGTCTTTGATTGAGGCGATAACAGATGAATTAGTGCATGAAGAAATGTGGACATCCAGTAGCCGGACTTGTAACCAAAGCACAGATGGGCCGTACTCACTAACTAACATCATTTAATAAATATCTTCTTAATATCTTAAGGACCTTCATTGTAGTTTCATAAACACGTGCTCACATACAGATTAAAATCCCCCACTTGAATCAGCTTTGCATGACGCATACCTCGAGAATTGCTTGCCGTGATTATTGTCATTTCCTCAGATCACTAAAGTACTGCAACTAAATTATTATCTTTGCTTCCGTTTCTTGGCTTACCCAATCCCTTTAATACAATCGTCACTGCCATCTGATTAACTAATTTAATTGTTTATATTGTTCTGAAATTTTCTTATTAGCATGGTAGTTTTCTCTTTAGTATTATCTACTTCAATTAACTGCTATTCGATCTGGTAGTGTGATAGCTGCTGACATTCAGAAACCCTTTCAATCACGGGACATACAAATTCAAAAATAACTGCCGACTGACTGGGATTAATGCAGTCGAGTTGCCAGATTACCTAAAACTCATCGTAAACTGACAAAAATTATTAATGTTACTGGAAAAGTAAGAATCAATCACAAAGAAATTAATTGGTTTATACTAACTCATGAATAAGATATTGGATATTGGATAGGTGTAAGTAAAGTTGAATACCAAGAAATGACCTTGACTCTTGTGGGATTTTCGGGTCGCCGTCTTTACCAGATGATTAATGGCGCAACAGCGTACAAAGTGGGAACTAGTGCATCAATTTGTTCATGAAGTTGTTGACTTCAGCTCCCAGTATGGATCGGAAAGTGGGACGGGTTTCACAGCGGCAAACATTGTTGGTCCATGCCAAGTGTATCCCAATTATTGTGATTCCAATGCAACTTGCTCATTTGTAAGTTGTTTTCTAAAGTTGTGTTGTTTTGCATATTTGTTTTCAAGTTGTCTTTTTTCATGGCTAGCTGAGATAGGAGGTAAAATCTTGTGTCGCGACATTTATTTGTTTTGCTGCTCAGTATCATTAGGCTTACGAACAGAGTTTTTTTTAATTATGCCATCTTGGAATAAATTACAAAAACAATGGCTTATAGTTACTAAATCAGAGACATATCCACCAAATTTGAGAATTTAAGGTGAGACACTCCTAATGTTTGAGTTAATTCGTAGTTTAAAAGTTGGTTTGTTCTTGGCTTTGAACTCACATACTATTTCCTGGTTGGAAGAAAAGTAAGGGATACTTCAAACCAGTAGTACTTTCCAGTATTAATTCCATACTCGTTTTCCGTAGGATGTTTGTCATACTGTTATGGCCATCACTTCTAGAGTGGAGTTCCATCTTAACTCTGTTGCATGTTTTCCTGAGTTGTATTCTGGACCAACATGCTTTTCATCACTTGCTAAACATAACCTGACTTATTCACTCTGCGAAAGACTATTTTCCGGCATATTTATTTCACCAACAGCTTTTCATTGCCTATCAGAATGCTTTTCATAATGCACATTTGTCACAGCATAAAATTATCACCAAATCAAGTAAATATGCAATTGTACAATGCTAAGTAGTGAAATAATAAACTTCCAAACTTTAAGCGTGACTTGAAACAGTGTTCATCTTTGAAATCGATACGTATTAGTGGAACGCAATCTTCACCGATTGTATTATAAGATTTCATTAGAGGATGATCGTTCAATATCACCATTACTAAAAATTAATCGATCGCTGAGTGTAGTGCTCAGTATGATAGCCTTTTAGTCATTTATTGATATTCGAGTCCTATCAATCAAGCTGCGGAATTTTTTAGTTATTACTCTCGTAATCGTATTTTATTTAGTAAGATGATAAAAAAATACAATTCTCCAAAGTTTTATAAATAATAACTTCAGAATATCTGAAATCTATTTCTGTTTCTCTCTCCCTCTCTTTAAGTGTAAGAAGTTGCCTCAGTATCAATACCTAGTCTAACAGTATCAAATATGATATTCAAACTTGTTGAGTTTTGATCCTCTCAAAAGCCTCAATAAAATAGATAAAATTCTCACTTGAATTTTAATAAGTTGTTCTACTTATGACATTAATGAGACATTAGTTCGCAAACCAAAAGTCAAATGCACCCTACAGCAGTTCACTGTGTATCACTGTACAGCTGTGAAACCTTGCTCATGAAAATAAAATACATATATAAGTTCCAAATATTAGATCATAGGTACCCTCGAAACATTGCTGACATATATGGAAAGACCTCCAGGTAAGCAACTCTAAGGTTCCGTTTAGTGTTGTAAATTGACATGGAATGTCAATCGATGAGACCATGAACCTTCATCCATCCATCAAGGCAGTTGACAATGTATTAAGCATCCTTAAACATTTCCCTAGTTGATTATAACTGATTAAGAAAAATTTTCTTTTCCTGATCTTGGTACAGTAAACTAAGCAGTTAGTGGATATCTATTTTTAGGAGCGATTGTTAAAGCATTCAGCAATCGATCAGTCAATTGGAAACTCAAAATATTTTCCATCTTTTTAGTTTCGGTTACTGAATAGTAATACAGGCTTTCGTAAAGTGTTGTTCATTTTTAGTCAGTCGGTTGCAACGTAGAACTTCTACGTATGTATGTAAGTTCATGTTGCCATACCACATTAGCACAGAGACGCAAATGTCAAATCAAATCTCATAGTGATAAAGATAGTAGAGGTATTAATGGTAATGAAGAAGACTAGGGTTCAAAGATATTATTCAAGAAGTATAATTCAGTGAGATAAGGTTAGAAAGACAAAGGTAGAGGTGCTGACGAATCCAGAAGATTAGGATTTGAGAGAGCACAATGAATGGATGCACTTGCGCCAATGCAAACGATTCTGAGCCATGTTGTTCAAGGTCTCTAACCATCGGTAACTTTCGTCTTGTGGACCCCAACCAAGTAACCTACATCTACCAACATGACTCAGTCCACTTGTCAGTGACTTCATGGATTTGTGCCATGTTTTGGTCTGGCCGCCACTAACTTTCTTCCAATCTACTCCTACACCACAAAAGATAACTCGTCGAGGCAGTCGGTGGCCGGGCATTCGTGACACATGTCTCAACCACCTCAACTGATGAAGTTTTACTACTTCATCTGTTGATCTGCCGTTCATTGACAAGTACATTAATAAACACTTAGTTTACGAGTGGCCCCTGTATTCTCTGGTACCGTCGAGTCAGAACACTCCTCTCTCTCCAAATGCTATCATATAACCACGTGTGTATAGTCACTTTCACGAAAGTCCTATTTACTCCTCATTGCTTTCTCGTGATGGAAGTGTTGTTTCTCCAAATTGAAAGGTCAATCAGTCAGTCAGTCAGATACAACGTAGAACTTTGTACATAAGTACATCAGTTCATGTTGACATACCTTATCAGTACAGAGATGTAATTGTCAATTCAAATCCAATAGTAGAAGAGGTAGTAAGGGAATTAGAAGTAATTGGAGAGGTTAGGATTAGAAGATATTATTCAAGAAATATGATTCAGTGAGAAAAGTTTAGTAAGTCAAAACCAGAGGGGTTTAAGAATCCAGAAGATTAGGAGTTGAGAGAACACAAAGAATAAATGCACCGGCGCCATTGCGAAAGGACAAAAAAGTGAATGTCCAGTGCTTAAACTGGGTAAATAAGTTGTTTTATTAACGTTTATATCAGTTAATTTACTTTAATTAGTTCGTAATAAAAGATAAATATCGAAAATTCTTTATTTTATATATATTTTTTCAATGTATTTATAGCGAACATACGGTAAATGGTGGCGTAACAGTCCAAGTTATTTAAAGCCAATCAATTTAACGCATGATGATAATACATATTCAAGTGAAGATTATGTTGATTTATATTTTGATATACCAGTTATACCGATACGTTTACAAATTTATGAAACTTATAATCCCGGTGCAATTGTACGTATCTCTGCTGGTTATCGTCATCAACCAGCCAATAATCCAGTGAATACACGTAAAATTCAATGGACTACTTTATGGAAATTGAATTCTTCTAATCATGATAATAAACATTCCATTGTTCCATTTCAGCATACTAATCAGAACAATAGTCATTATCATACAAGACAACATCAGCCACACAATCAACATCAACAACGCCAACAACCACTTCAGTTAACTTATCAATCGAATAATAATACATGCACTACTTTAGCTTGTTTAAATCCTTACATTAATGTTGTTGGTGCACCACAACAACAAGGCATACCTGATGTACAACAAGTTAAACAATGCTTACCATCTGCTATATCATATCATGATGAGAATGAATTTACAACAACAGCTCAATATTTGGAATATCTACCACAATCACGTATTTTTCAACCGACATTGGTATGATTTGTTTGAATCGCATTGTTTTGTTTTGTCTCTATTTTCTTTCATGGTCGCAATTGTAGTTGTTAGCGTAACGCAGTGGTTGGGTTTTTGTTGATTGTGATGAACCAGCCTATCTATATTACCTAGGATACATGCTCCTTTAGGTTCTACCATGCCAGGCAGGTGAATTGGAGAACGGTGACACTAAAAGCAACAACTCAAGGTCTGAAGGCGAAGTCGTACTGCTGACTGTAGGTGACTGCAGTGAGGTGTTTCCTTCGAACAACTAGCATCTGCAGTGAAGTTGCTTTCTCACAGCGGAAGGAAGGGGTTAGAAAAGCTCGACCGTGAAATTGTCACACCTCACCTTACCGTATGGATTTCTATTCTCCAGCAGTAAGGCTTTTTAAATCAGAGCCGAGCTAACACTTCAAAATTTTTCCCTAAAAATGACGTATGTAGTCGGCCTAAAAGCAGTTGTTTGTTTAACCTATGTAGTCGCGCTCCCAAATCGCTCAGACCAGCGCTATGTTATTTTGTTTTATCTTTCCCCTTCTTTGATGGTTAACTAATTCAAACTGACTAATTTTTAACCAAAATCAGAATTGTTTGAAATAGTAAAGTTTTTCAGATTTTCTTCTATCTATTCTAGTTTAAATTATTATATAACACTGTCAAATGGCACATCATAGGTACAGTTCTCATTCATATCATATAGGAAATTATTAAGAGGTAGCTTTTTTAGTTCAAATCATATAACCCTGAAACAGTAAATTACATGTTCGAACCCCACTCATCCTATTGTGGTTTGGCTAACTGAGTAGTATTATACCCTAGTACATAAACCTGTAGTCAGTCAGTCAGTCAGATGCAACGTAGAACTTTGTACGTAAGTACATCAGTTCATGTTGCCATACCACATTAGCACAGAGATATAATTGTCAATTCAAATCCAATAGTAGAAGAAGTAGTAAATGTATTAGAAGTAATCGTAGACGTTAGAATTAGAAGATATTATTCAAGAAGTATGATTCAGTGAGATAAGTTTAGAAAGTCAAAACTAGAGGTGGTGAGGAATTCAGAAGATTAGGATTTAAGAGAGAACACAAAGAGTAGATGCACTGACGCCATTGTGAACGATTTTGAGCCATGTCACTCAAGGTCTCTAACCATCGATTATTATCATCTCGCGCACCCCAACCAGGTAGGTAGTTGACAACTACAAATGTCCTAGAGGTCGAATGCATATCATTGGTCAAGAAATGAATTTGTTTTCTAAGAGAACGAATGTATGTATAAAATGAGTAATCAGTAGCCAAATAGATTTGCCTTTCCACTCTTGCCTTCTCGCTTATCAGGTTCGCCCATATCACATTCAGATTTAAGACATCATCAATGGAGTAGTCAGTTTCTAAACAGATAAACATTAAGGAGCATTATTCGCTTTTTTTCAGCGAGTTAGTTTTCTACGGTCATTCTCCTGGTAGAAGATTCACTCAGACGAACGTAATGTTATACACCTAGAAGTAGGTCTGTGACAAAATTGAACAAGAATGAAGAAAGTGATGTCCTTACAGGGATGTGTTATGACAACTTGAACTGATCTACGTACATACGTACCAAGTGGCTACATTTGTTATTGACCGAATATAGTATTGTAACTTTAACTGATGCACATATGTACTTAGGAAGTTCAACGTTGCAACTAACTGAATAACTAACTGACTTTGGACAATCGAATCAGTATAAATTGCATTCTGATTTTCAACAGATTATTTCATTTTCACTGATTAATTTCATCTCATTGGAAAGAATCAATGCAATTTATGGTTGTAGTTTGATCAAATGTTTGCATATTATTATTATTATTATTATTATTATTATTGTTATTATTTAGTCTAATATTCAACCATGTCCAACTGATTTAATTCGTATTGAATTTGATAATACACGATGTCAGTATTATACACAAATTGATGCTGTACGTTTATCCGGTTGGGCTGAATTAACTGATACAATGATATCACGGTCGTTTGGACAACTTGAAGCTCCCACGTCATTGTCATTGTGGTCATCATCATCATCATCATCATCACCATCATCAATGCATATCGTTAATTCAATGAATATCATGGAACAACAAACTAATGCATCATTTTTCTCTGATTTATTAAAACCGTGTACACCACGTTTAAGAGCATCATCCTATGATGTAAGTAAGCGAAAATTTGTTATTTTTTTTATATTGTGTTGTGTGTTTATTGAATCTTTGCCAAAAAAATTTATGCTCAACAGTTATTTATATTAGCTAAAGATGATGGATGATGAGTAGCAGTGGAGTTAACAGTGCGTGTGTTTCGTCCTATTCACGGGGTTCATCAGCTTAATGTACCTGCCATATCTGAAAGTTGATATTCACTCCAGTATTCGAATCCAATATCTTTCGCTTCAAATGTTATCGCTAGATGTTTCGGTTGTTAAGCTTTCATTATTTTTCTGAAAAACATCATTAGCACAAACTTCAGTTAGACTTCAAATAGACTTTTATCTGAAGTTTGTGTTGATGATGTTGTTCAGCTGGAGAACAATGAAAACTCCACAGAGCCAAAACATCCAAGTCAGAGAATGAAACACCATCATAATCATCCACCTGAGCTATAAATTTTCTCCATCGTCTCAAATGCTATCGCATTATACACTCCACCTAATGAGTCCAAATAAGCACTTGCTTGTATTGGTTGTTTGTATCTTTCCATCGACTAATAATCTCATTTGGTGTGTGTTCATCCTGTGCAGATTGCCGTGATACAGTCATTAGGTTAAAAGCTTTATAAGCTGAGTTGGAGTGCTTATCAACTCTGGGATGTAGGTGGTACATTTAGCTGTGCATGAATCCAAAATACAACGAAACATACCTCCTGAATTCCACTGATATCCACTGTCCACCTCAGCTAATAATGATCGTAACTTAAAATGGCAGTCATCAAGACAATCTGAACAGAATGCACATATACCAAAGGATACTTACTACTGATCAATCCTAGTCATAATAATCAAAGTATTTCAAAAAATTACCTTTTGCTATTTACTTTAACATGTCAATTATATATCTACTAATCGTATAATCTGTTCAGGCGTAAAGTACAAAAATGTATAGCTTGAGACATCGCAATGGTTGACAATATGATACAAACGGAGTCCACATTAATGAAGTATTGAATCTTGAACTGTCTATTTCTAAACTGCCAATCATTTATTGTTTTGTTAATACTATTATTAGACATCATTAGATAAATTCAAATCATCGATACTAATGAGTTAAACTATGCTAATAAGGTATGGCAACATGAACTGATGTATGCACGTACGTACGAAGTTCTACGTTGCAACTTGATTGATTGATTGATTGATTGAATGAATGAGTTAAGCAGTCAGTCAGTCAGAAACAACGTAGAACTTGTTGCGCATGTGCATCAGTTCAAGTTGCTGTACCTGCCATATTAGCACTAAGAGAGGTGTAGGTTGTCAATTCTAATCTCATGATAGTAGAGATTGTAGCAGCATTAGCGGTAATCGGAAAGATTAACTGATCGTAGATATGATTCGAAAAGTATAAACCATTGAAATAAGGTTTAAAAAGCGGATGGTGATGAGGAATCCAGAAGATTAGAATTTAGGGATGTATCTGCCCCTCATTGTTAACAATGTTGAGCTATGTTATTCAAAATCTGTAACCACTCGTTACGATTTTCTCTCGCGCATTCCAACTAGGTAGTCTACACCTAGAGTAACCTGTTTCATTCAGTCTAGTTTGTATATTCTTCTAATGTGAATAATTACTAAAAGTAATTTTCTCGAAACCATTTCAATAATCAAATTTGATAGAACTTATTAAATTTCTTACAAAATATATATAGATCTTCATATGGGCTTACTACATAGTGAGTTTATTTTGTTTATAGTTTGAAATGAATCTTTGTTTTTTTCTTGAGATATCAGACAGACAGACAGACAGACAGATACAGCGCAGAACTTCGTAAGTAAGTACATCAGTTCAGGTTGCCATCCCCCAATCAGCACACAGACGTAACTGTCAGTTCAATTCCAACAGTGATAGCAATAATAGAATTATTAGCAGTAACGGAGAAGATTAGAGAGCGAACATATGATTCGAGAAGTATAATTCAGTAAGATAAATTTAGAAAGAGAAAGATAGAGATTATGAGGTATTCAGAAGCTTAGAATTTCATAGAACACAAAGAGTGGATGCACCTGTACCAGTGCAAACGATTCTGAGTCATGTCGTTTAAGTTCTCTAACCATCGGTGACTATCGTCTCGCGGACCCGAACCAGGTGGTATACATCTACCAACATGACGTCCAGGTCGAAAACCAGCCTGGTTTTCTCTTACCGCAGAGCCTAAGGGACAACTGCTTGAGGCCGGTCACACACGGCCTTTTTATGAAGTGTTTTTTGAGTATTAGCTCCGCTCTTTTTAAGGCCCTTACTGGGAAGCTCTTACCATCAGAGACGGAAATCCGTGAGGTAGGGTGAGGTGTGACATTTTTAGGGTCGACCTTTTTTAACCCTTCCTTCCTTGTACTGAGAAGGCCACATCACTGCAGATATTGGTTGTTCGAGGGAAACGCCTTACTGCTGTCACACCCCTCCATCACAGTCAGCAGTACGACTTCGCCCTCAGACCTTGAATAGCTACTTTCAGTCTGATCGTCCTCCAATCTACCTGCCTGACATGATAGAACCTTCAGGAACATATGTTCCAGCCAGTATAGCTCGGTTGGGTCATGACGACAGGCAAGCCCTACCACCGTGTCAAGGTAGCAGCTACGGTCAGGTAAAGCCACTCCCACGCTAGGAGTCCAATCCGGGCCGCCTGGGTGAGAGCCAAGAATCCTAACCGCTAGGGAATAAATATTTAAGTTGTGATCACACACAAATTGACTTGTTCATTAGGTTATTGCATTAAAACACCACCACCATATTGACAAATGAACAAAATTGTTTTCATCGATCTTTAATCTCTCTCTTTTTCTCTCTCTTTATATGCACTGAATGAAATTATTAACCAATCAAGGTAATTTATGAATTAGTAATAATAATAGTAATAGTAGTATGAATGGAATATAAAGTACACATCCGTATGGTGTGATAATAAGTGTACTTATACTTTGATAATTTATTACTTAAAAAGAAGGCTTAAATTTAATGTATTCACATAAAATAAGAGAGAAAGTAGGTCAAATAGTTTGGTGTATTGGACACTAAAAAATATTTACTTTTATCGCATGGATCGATCATAGTTAGACCATTATTATTGAAAAGAGCTGGAAGCGCTGGTTGGCTGTGTTTTTCTCCTAATACCGGGACTTATCAGCAATACAATCCTCATCACTAGTAGTGATTAGGGATAGTTAAGAAATTCTTTGAGTTCTAGTGAGAAGCCGTGACCAGTAGAGTTCAACGATGTCAGGTGTAATGCAGTTAGTTACCAACCGAACTCAATGGATTAGGTCTCGCAATGCAGCGAAATGATTGAAGCTAAACATTAACACTGCTGGATGCCGGCTCTGTGGTCAAGAGATTAAGCATTCGTACTCCGGACTGAACGTCCTGGTTTTGATTCTCGCTTAGTTGGTGGTTAGTGGTGGATGGGCACTGTTGATGAGTTCCATTCTAGGGCGATACTGTTGGGTTTCCGATGGTGTATATGCATCGATTTCACGTACTTAACTTATATTTAACTCTACTGATATACAACTCCATTGTCATCTGTCAACAAATTCTCGCAGTCCACATCTATTTCGTCACATAAATTGCTTACTTACGCCTGTTACCCTCAGTGGGACATAGGCTTCCAACCAGTATTCTTCTCCCTACTTTGTCCTGGTCCTTCCTGTCCAATTTTTGTTCATTCTTCTCATGTCTGTCTTCACTATTCGACGTAATGTGTTCTTTGGTTTTCCTCTTTTCCTCTGACCTTCAGGGTTCCAAGTGAAGGTTAGTTTCGTGACGCAGTTGGGTGCTTTCTTCAATGCGTGTCTTATCCTTTTCCAGCGCTTCTTCTTGCTTTCTTCCTCCATTGGCATCTGGTTTGTTCTCTCCCACAGTACGTTGTTACTGATGGTGTCTGACCATCGAATCCGAAGTATTATGCGTAGACAACTGTTAATAAATACTTGTATCCTCTAGATGATGCGTTTCGTAGTTCTCTAAGTTTTCACCCGAATACCGTAGAACTGTCTTGATATTTGTATTGAAAATCCTGATTTTGGTTTTGGTTGAAAATTGTTTGGAGTTGCAGATATTTTTCAACTGTAGAAATGCAGCGCTTGCTTTGCCAATCCGCGCTCTTTCATCTGCATCGAATCCACCTTGATTGTCGATGATGCTGCTCAGATGTTGTTAACGTCCTCCAAGGCATCTACATCAAGAGTGGTTCGGTTGGTACATATTTTGTTGTATCGGAGAATTTCGCTTTTTCCTTTATGTATGCTGAGACATACTGCTGCTGCTAAGGCTGCTGTTATACTGGTCATCTTCTCTTGCATTTGTTGTTGCGTGTGCGATAGAAGGAACTGATCATCCAGCTGCATCCTGGCTCTCCACTCTGTCCCGTGCTTCGCTCCAGATGTGTTGAAGTCTTCATAATCCAGTCGATGAGCAGAGGAGAAAGAGAAAGGGTGAGAGTAAGCAATCTTGCCTGACACCGATCTTCACCTCAAACGAGTCTGTCAGTTGTCCTCCGTGCACGATTTTACAGTTGAATCCATCATAAGAATTTCGTAGTGTCAGGCACGCCGTAGTATGGAACTATTCAACTTAACTATTTACGTTCATACATTTAAGAATTATTTTATTCACTATTTTTAAAGAAAAAACTAATTTTTTTTTCTTAGCTCACTAACGAACCAATGGATATATCATCATCAATGGACTCTTTATCGAATCCGTTGATAGATGCAAATCTTGATGAAGATGATCACTGTTCATCACAACAACCGGCCTCGCCGCCAACACCGCAACCACCGCCCACATCCTCATCATCCTCATCCTCTTTAGCATTGGCATTGTTACCACTTTGTTTACGTCGTAAATCGTCTGGTTTAATTCAAATACCACCAGTTGGTATGAATTTATTATTGTTACAAAGTAGAAATCTGATTGCTTTACCACCTGGTACAATATGTCAGTCATCATTAGTTGGTTGGAATTATTTAAATGAAAATGCATTATGGCGTCATGGCCCATTGACTCGTTTACCGGTAAATGAAATAAGTTTTTTTTTCTAAAATTTTTTTACAAAGATTAATATATTTGACTTTGAAAATAAATAGTTAGTCAGGTACAATGTAGAACGTCGTACGTACGGGTGCGTACTTTACTTTTTTTTACTTACGCCTGTTACCCCCAATGGAGCGTAGGCCGTCCACCAGTTTTCTCCAACCAACTCTGTCCTGGGCTTCCTTCTCCAGTTCTGTCCAATGTTTGTTCATTCCTCTCATATCTTTCCCGATTTCTCGGCGTAATGTTTTCCATGGCCTTCCTCTTTTCCTTTTGCCTTGAGGGTTCCATGTAAGGGCTTGTCTCGTGACGCAGTTAGGTGCTTTTCGTAGTGTGTGTCCTATCCACTAACTCTACCGCTTCTTCCTGATTTCCTCCTCCACTAGAATCTGATTTGTTCTCTCCTACAGTACGTTGTTTCTGATGATGTCTGACCAACGAATACGAAGTATTTTGCATAGACAACTGTTCATAAACACCTGTATCTTCTGAATGATAGCTTTCGTAGTTAGCCAAGTTTCTTCTACATACAGTAGAACTGTTTAGCCGTTTGTATTGAATATTGTGATTTTGGTTTTGGTTGAAAGTTGTTTGGAGTTCCAGATATTTTTCAACTGTAGAAATGCAGCCCTTGCTTTGCCGATCTGCGCCCTCACATCTGCATCCGATCCACCTTTCTCGTCGATGATGCTGCCCGGATATGTAAAGGTGTTAACGTCCTCTAAGGCATCTCCATCAAGAGTGATTTGGTTGGTGCATGTTGTGTTGCATCGGAGAATTTTGCTTTTTCCTTTATGTATGTTGAGACCTACTGCTGCAGAGGCTGCTGCTACACTGGTCGTCTTCTCTTGCATTTGTTGTTGAGTGTGCGATAGAAGAGCCAGGTCATCTGCGAAGTCCAGATCGTGCAGCTGCGTCCTAACTGTCCAGTTGATACCGTGCTTCCCTCCAGATATTGACGTTTTCATAATCCAGTCGATGACCAGGAGAAAGAGAAAGGGTGAGAGTAAGCAACCTTGCCTGACACCGGTCTTCACCTCGAAAGAGTCTGTCAGCTGACCTCCGTGCACGATTTTGCAGCACGTACGTACGTATGTGCGTACCATCAGTTCAAGTTGACATATATTATTTTAAAATTAGTAGTTCAACGGAAAGGTCGATAATATTTACTAGGACTCTTTGTTTCAGGTCAATTCAATTAAAACGCACCAAAATATCTAACAACATTCCATGCTATATGTAAATGCCAGCAAACATGCATTGACAAAAAGTCTCTAAAGATCACTGGGAAAGGTTTTACCCAGCCGACATTGAACAGAAGCTTCTTATTAGTAAATATCTAAAAGGAAAGCGAGATTATGTCACGTTTCTTTTTCACTGAATGGTTACTATATTTAGTATGCTTCTAATTCTGGCTTATAAGAAGTGGTTCAGTCAGTCATTTGTAAAGTAGAACTTAGCACGTACGTACATCAGTTTAGGTTACCATACCACATTAGCACAGAGACGCAATTGTCGATTCAAATCCCATAGTGGTAAATGTAGTAGAAGTATTAGCGTTAATGGAGAAGATTAGAGTTTGAAGAGTATAATCAAGTGAGATAAATTTGAGAAGAGAAAGATAAAGGTGATGAGGAATTCACAAGATTAGAATTTCTTAGGACACAAAGAGTGGATGTACCTGCGCCATTACAAACGATTTTTAGCCTATCATTCAGGGTCTCTAAGCATTGGTTAGTGTGTTGTCTCGTGGACACCAACCAGTTAGTCTACATCTACTAACATGGCTCAGTCCAGCTGTCAATGGTTTCATGGATTTGTGCCATGTTGTGATATGGCCGCCTCTAGCTCGTCAATGCTCAACAGCCTATATTCACGTTCTGAACGAGAATGTTACTCAGAAGTTTTTAGATCTAGTGAGTAGTGTACACAGAAAATTTACCTACTGGAGAGAAGTAAAACCGTGATTCTTGATCAGTAGAGCTTATGGGCTTTGGGATGCTAATGGTAATAAATGTGTACAAACCTATTGTATAAACAGTCGTGAGTGATCTGTAGCTATATCAACTCGCCTGTTTTTGTTCTCTCGTCTTCAATGGATCTTTCGAAGTGTGTTCCTGCAAAACTCATGTAGTTTTGTGTATGCTCTTGTAGAAAGAAGGAAGGATGAAGTCAAACTATGTGGTTATTTTGTTCAAGTCATAATGAGACATAGATATTTACACATAGAAGTAAAGAAGGCTCTACAATACCGTATCTAGCGCATACATAAAGTAATAATGAACTGAATTGTAAGATGTACTATGAATCACAATCAATTATACATTATTATATCAAAACATTTTATTCAATAACGTGTTTCTTTGTCATTTCATATGCTGTTCATATGCTGACAACAATATCCACATGACGATGCAATGCAATGTATGAAGTATGAAGTTCTGTTGCATATATTCTCTTATTTGGATTTAAGAAGTTTATTTCGTTGTGCACGTGTATCTCGGTAAGTTAGTGTGGGTGAATGAATGCGTGAGTGTTTTACTCTACGTGTGTGTTTTTGAAGTAGTTAGTACTGTGTTTAAGTTGGGAACAAGTGTATCCATCTGATGAGTCCTAGTCGGGACGAAACGCTCATCCTAGATTTCACTGCCCAGTCATCATTCATTTCTACTGATATTACTTGTAACTTAGTGGCTACGTCCAGGCAGTCCACACAGTGCGCACTTATTATACTAATTGAAACTGACCAGTCTAACTGGAATATTCATTCGACCTATACAAATACATTATTTCTTAAGGTTCATGTAGGTAGAGTTAAATTTTTCAGTTGAAATCATTGAGTTCATATTCTGTTGGAAAGCCCAGAAATATTTCTCGCAAAAAATTCTATAAAGATCCAAAATCACCAAGAAATATTGTATCTGATCAGCATTAAAAAGAATCATCGTAGAAATATTTCAGAAAAAAGATGCGGAACCACGTGTCATGTGACTCTGAAAGTATATTTAGTCATATTGCTACTATATTCAGTGCGGTTTCTTAACCTTCCTGAGGCTCAAGTGTTATGTTCGTCACTTGGTACGCTTGAATCTATTACGAGTTCACCTTAGTCAATAAACGCGAACGAGATAATAAACCAGCGTCCAGGTACTTACTTACTTACTTACGCCTGTTACCCCCCAATGGAGCATAGGCCGCTCACCAGTTTTCTCCAACCAACTCTGTCCTGGGCTTCCCTCTCCCGTTCTGTCCATTGTCTGTTCATTCCTCTCATATCTTTCTCTATTTCTCGGCGTAATGTGTTCCTTGGCCTTCCTCTTTTCCTTTTGCCTTGAGGTTTCCATGTGAGGGCTTGTCTCGTGACGCAGTTAGGTGCTTTTCGTAGTGTATGTCCTATCCACTTCCACCGCTTCTTCCTGATTTCCTCCTCCACTGGAATCTGACTTGTTCTCTCCCACAGTACGTTGTTTCTGATGGTGTCTGGCCAACGAATACGAAGTATTTTGCGTAGACAGCTGTTAATAAATACTTGTATCTTCTGAATGATGGCTTTGGTAGTTCTCCAAGTTTTCGCTCCATACAGTAGGACTGTCTTGACATTTGTATTGAAAATCGTGATTTTGGTTTTGGTTGAAAGTTGTTTGGAGTTCCAGATATTTTTCAACTGTAGAAATGCAGCCCTTGCTTTGCCAATCCGCGTCCTCACATCTGCGTCCGATCCACCTTTCTCGTCGATGATGCTGCCAAGATATGTGAAGGTGTTAACGTCTTCCAAGGTATCTCTATCAAGCGTGATTCGGTTGGTGCATGTTGTGTTGCATCGGAGAATTTCGCTTTTTCCTTTATGTATGTTGAGATCTACTGCTGCAGAGGCTGCTGCTACACTTGTTGTCTTCTCTTGCAATTGTTGTTGCGTGTGCGATAGAAGAGCCAGGTCTGCGAAGTCCAGATCGTACAGCTGCGTCTTAACTGTCAAGTTGATACCGTGTTCATCTCCAGATAATGACGTTTACATAATCCAGTCGATCACCAGGAGAAAGAGAAACGGTGAGAGTAAGTAACCTTGCCTGACACCGGTCTTCACCTCGAAAGAGTCTGTCAGCTGACCTCCGTGTACGACTTTGCAGTTGAATCCATCATAAGAATTCCGTATGATGTTGACTATTTTCTCAGGCACACCGTAGTGTCGAAGAAGCCTCTACAGTGTTTTCCTATCCACGCTATCAAATGCTTTCTCGTAGTCGATGAAGTTGATGTAGAGTGGTGAGTTCCATTCAATTGATTGTTCCACAATGATCCGTAATGTAGCAATTTGGTCAGTACATGATCGATCCTTACGAAATCCGGCCTGTTGATCTCGAAGTTGGGCGTCTACGAAGTCCTTCATTCTGTTTAACAATACCCTGTTGAAGACTTTGCCTGGTATTGAAAGAAGAGTGATGCCTCTGTAGTTCTCACACTTGCTCAGGTCGCCTTTCTTTGGTATTTTGATCAGGTATCCTTCTTTCCAATCTGATGGTACTTGTTCCTCATCCCAAATCTTCTTAAAGAGAATGTGAAATATTTTCGCAGTTGCTTCCACATCTGCTTTCATTGCCTGTGCTGGAATGTTGTCTGGTCCTGCTGCTTTGCCGCTCTTGATTTGTCTGATGGCTATACTGATCTCCTCAATCGTGGGTGCGCCAATATTAATTGTGAGGTCCGTGGATGCTGCTTCGATGTTGGGTGTGTTCAGTGGAGCTGGTCGATTCAATAGTTCCTTAAAGTGCTCCACCCACCTATTTCGCTGTTCGTCAGTGTTGCTGATTATTTTCCCTTCCTTGCTTTTCACTGGTCGTTCTGGTTTACGATAGTTCCCGGCGAGCTTCTTTGTTGTTTCGTACAATTGTCTCATGTTTCCTTCTCTTGCAGCCTTTTCCGCCGTCATTGCTAGATCTTCCACATATTTTAGTTTGTCAGCTCTGATGCTCTTCTTCACTTCCCTGTTTGCTTCTGTATACTCGGCTTGCGCCTTAACTTTCTCTGCTCTTGTTCGGCTGACATTCACTGCTGCCTTCTTGTTCCTCCTTTCTTGAATTTTTTCAAGAGTACCAACAGAGATCCATTCTTTGTGATGGTGCTTCTTGCGACCAAGGACCTCCTGACATGTTGAAGTGATTGCCTCCTTAATCCCTTTCCAATTGTACTCCAATGTTGCTTCCTCTGCATTGAGTAGATCCTGAAAGGCCTGGAACCTATTGGTGAGGGCTATCTTGAATTCGTTGAGTGTTACGGTATCCCGAAGAAAGGCTGTATTAAACTTCTGTGATGTTGTCTGCCCCGTTGTCCAGTGCTTCTTTAGCTTCAATCTCATTTTGGCGATCAGCAAGTGGTGATCTGAAGCTATATCAGCTCCTCTCTTGGTTCTCACATCCTCCATGGTCCTTCTGAACTTTTTGTTGATACAGATATGGTCAATTTGGTTTTGAGTAGTGTGGTCCGGTGAAATCCATGTGGCTTTGTGAATGCGTTTGTGCGGGAATATTGTGCCACCGATGACCAGTTTGTTGAAGGCACATAGGTTTGCAAATCTCTCACCGTTTTCGTTCCTTTCTCCCAGTCCATGTCGTCCCATGATGTCTTCATATCCAGTGTTGTCCATTCCAACCTTGGCATTCAGGTCTCCCATAAGAATCGTCAAATCGTTTGGTGAACATTTCTCGACGATTGACTGTAGCCTTTCGTAGAATTGATCTTTAACGTCGTCATTGTAGTCATTGGTAGGTGCATAACATTGGATGACGTTCATTGTAATGTCCTGTTTCCTTGTTTTGAAGGATGCTTTAATGATCCTGGGTCCATGAGATTCCCATCCTATCAGTGCCTTTTGTGCATGTTTGGACAGCATCAGTACAACTCCTTGTGTATGTGAAGCGTTTTCCTCTTCATGACCAGAGTATAACAGCAGTTCCCCTGAAGCTAGTCTCAGTTGTCCTACTTGTGTCCAATGCGTTTCACTGATGCCGAGCACCTCGAGGTTGTATCGTTTCATTTCTGCCGCAACTTGAAATAGTCTTCCAGTCTCCCACAATGTACGAACGTTCCATGTACCTAAAAGAATGGTTGCTCTGGTTGTCAGAAGAGGCATCAGCCCCGTGACTTCTGAGGGAACTCGGCTTTCATCACGAGACGTCATAATTCTTCTTCCAACTCCCAGGGCAGAGTTAAAATGGTTTGAATTATTTTTTCTGGTTAGCGTTTTTTGGCAAGTGAGATTTCAACGGAATGGGGTCGCCAACCCCATGTCCAACCCTCCTCCTTTATCCGGGCTTGGGACCGGCAGTAGCCCCTAAGGTTCTACTGGCGGAGTTAGCATCCAGGTAGGCCACCTTGAATCTCAAGCTGTAAAACAGAAGTCTTGGTAAGCGTAGAAAGTATATTCTACAAACACCCAGCAATCACACAATACAATCAAGCACACAACTCTCGTTTATTTATACATCATAGAAACGTCCTTGGGACAGTTAAGAAAATAGCACACTAAAATACACAGCAGCCAATCACATCCATGGATTTTCCTGGTGGGAAATGAAATCTCAAGGTCAACTGATCAGCCCATGCTCAGTCAGTCAGTCAGTTGCAACGTATAACTTCGTACGTATGTACATCAGTTCATGTTGCCATACCACATTATAGCACAGAGACGCAAATGTCAAATCAAATCCCATAGTGATAAAGATAGTAGAAAAATTAGTGGTAATGGAGAAGATTAGGGATTGAAGATATTATTCAAGAAGTCTAGTTCAATGAGATAACTTTAGAAAGAAGAATTCAGAAGGTTAGAATTAGAGAGAACACAGAAAGTGGATGCACGTGTGCCATTGCAAATGATTTTGAGCCATGTCGTTCAAGGTAACTAAACATTGGTGACTCGTCTCGCGGACCTCAACCAGTTAGTCTACATCTACCAACATGACTCAGTTCACTTGTCAGCCCATGCTCGCAAACGCGAAATCCAAAATTAAGGCATTTAGCAAGCGAGTTCTATGGATCTAACATCCCCCACATCAAGGTCATGTGTAACCCTACAAAAGTATCCATATTTTTGTGTACATAAACTAGCAACCTTAGAGTAAAGCGTTCTTTTTTGAGTACATCTCTTCTTTTCTCATGTGTTTTTTTTTTAAGTTACAGTGTTTTTCGAAGCCTATAGGAAATCAGATCATTTAACATGTAAAACAATCAAATTCATTGAACATTTTGACTTATCTTTACTTCTGTTTTATGTCTTTTCACTTAAACTGCTTATTCATCTCTAGTCAATTCCGTTGTCTTGTTCAAGACACATTGGCAAATGTAACTAGTATCAATCTTCAATCATTTTGGTCAACATTGAATAATGCAACATTGATTAGTTTAGGTAAACGTCTTGGTCAAGTGAATTTAACTGCTAAAGTAGTTGCAGAATATTATACAACTGGTCAATCATTAGTTGCACCAATCACTTTATTACGTCGTCAAGTT